AATGGAAATGGTAATGGAGGTAATAATCGTAATATAAATAACAATAGCAATAGCAAAGAAAACCCCAGTATAGTAATATAGAATCACCAACACCAAGTGCAAAAGAAATGATGTCAAAACATTATTAATAACTAAACTAGACAAAAATACAGGTGCTAATAATACATTAGCACAACAACAACAACAATGTATTGTTATGAAATTTTGAAAAAAAAAATAAATAAATATTATTAAAAAATATCAATAAATAAATATAAATAAACTTTAAAGAAAAAATAATAATTTTTCTATTTTTTTTTTTTAAAATTTATTTTTTAAAATTATAAAAATTTTTTTTTTTTTTTTTTTCATCATAAAATTAAATTTTTCTATTTATTATACCTTTGATTTTATTGTTATAAAAAAACTTTTTTTTAAAAAGAAATTTAAAAAAGAGAGAAATAACACATAATAAAATATTGATTGTGTGTTCAAATAAAAATGATTTTCTCTTTATTTTTTGTATTTATTTAAAAATTATTTTGAAAAAGAAATAAATAAAAATAAAAATTTTAATTTTATATATTTTTTATTATAATCTGATTTATTGTTGAAGTTAGATTTGTTTATTTTATTTTATTTTTTTTTTTTTTTTTTCAAATAATATTTTTGATAAAATTTAATTTTTTTCTTTTAAAAAAAAATATACATAAAAATTTATTGAGCATTAATAATAAGGTTTAAATTTCTTTAATAGTTGAAAGTTATACACATTTGGAATTGTTTATGTAACTACAACCTAGAAAGTGATTATTGCCTTATCTAATTTTGCTTAAACCCTGCGATACTGCTCTGTTTCCGGACTTGTGATAAAATATTATTTGAAAAAAAAAAAAATAAAAAAAAAAATAAAAAAAATAAAAAAAAAAAATAAATAAAAATAAACAAATCTAGCTTAAAAAAAAAAATATTCAGATTCGTAATAAAAAAAATATATTTTAATAATAAAAAAAAATAATCAGATATATAATAAAAATTAAAATATTTGTTTTTATTTTTATTTATTTCTTTTGATGCAAAAAAAATTATATGATTTTATATGGTGTCATAATTTCTTGATAAAATATCAACATGTCCACATTAAAAAAAAAATATGGTTAATGGCCTATTTTTTGAAGAAAAAAATTATTTATCACACCAATTTATAAAAAAAATACATTTTAAAATTGTTTGTAAAAATCTTATCATATAAAAAGTTCATCAGCGTCCCCTCCAAATACCTTAAAGAAAGTGTTAAAAAACAGTGAGATTTAAATCACCACCCTCCAAATGCTCAATTTTGAAATTATCATAATTTTTTAAAAAAAATACACATTAAAAATATTTTGTAAAAGGCAGTCTTAAAAAAACAGTGAGATTTAAATCACCACCCACTTTTTAAAAAAAAAAAAAAATTACAAAAAAACAAAGAGAGAAAATCACTTTTATTTTATCTATATAATTGTGTAAACAAATAATTAATATTTTTTTATGCAATATTTTTACTCTTTTTAATATAAATAAAGTTTTTCGTTTGGTAACAAAATAAAATTTATTTTAGAAAATAAAATTCGAAAAAAAAATTAATTTCTTTTTTTTTTATTTTTTTTTTTTATTTTTTTTTATTTATTTTTTTTGTTTACAACCAAGTCCACGTTTTATTTGTTTAAATTATATTTCCAATATTGTATTTGTTTTGAATTATATTTCAAAAAATAATCAGATTAAAATAAATAATGATAGTATAACAATAAAACAATAATAATAATAATAGCAGCGATAATAATAATAGTAACAGTAATAAACAATAGTAGGGGCTATTCTTTGTTATCTTTTGTTTTGGCTGTAATTATGGAACCGAGGCTTTAAAGATCCAAAATAACACCATCCGTATTGATCTAAGTGCAAACTAATATAAGATCAGAAGTGACATCCATCACAAACCACTTACAGACAAACTACCTTTAAAAATTCTTTTAAAAAGAGAAGCAGATTCTAGCCTATTAATAGCAAAAACAGTGTTCTCATGAATAAGCCTTTGTATAAAAATGAATAGCAACACAGTGTATAGCAAACATTCAAGAGATACTGTTAACGATTGATCAAATAAAAAGGTTAGTGAATGGTTAACATCATTAAATTTCCCATAGAAATCATTTCAACTCTCGAAGCTCGTGTAATAGATGGAAGAATATTGGTTTTTATTTCTGACAGTTTACCAAATGATGTTTAATTAATTTCCTTTGAAATGAATGCAAAATTTAAAACCTTTTTAGAAAAGTTATTAGCTTCAAAATAAAGTCAATATCAACCTTTAGGTTATAGTAACAACAATAATAAAATAAAAATAAAACATTTTTAATTGATAATTTTAAAATATATTCAAATTTGTTTTTATTTATTTGTTAATAATTATTTCTTTTATTTATTATTATTATTTGTTTTTATAATATTATTTATTTGTTTTTAGGGTTATTATTTATTTGTATAGAGTTTCTTTATTGCCTCTTTAAAATTGATTGAGTTTCAAGTGTTAAAAATAGAACCATTTAAAAATAGAACTATTTTTTTTATTTATTTTTTTGTAAAATATTAAAAGGGGATCAGGAAAAATTTATAATGTTGATTATGTCACGTTGTATATAATTTCATTTATAACAATCAAATTTGGATAGTGGGTGGGTTTCTAAAAAAAACAATAAAGAAAAAAAAAGAAGATATGTGTGTTTTCATTATGCAAATGTGTGGTAGGTGTGTTTTATTTTTTATAAAAACACACACTCACTATACCCATATTTGAAATAGTTTTTAGTTGTTTTTTAAAAGATAAAAATATATTTTTATATTTTTATTAATTTTAATTATTTAATATGTTCTATTTTTTTTTTCTTTTTATTTTTTGAAAGAGATAACACCTACACAAAAATTAAATACCCCTCCAACACAACAACATTCCCCATATTACTTTTTTTTTTAACCTCACAATCACATAGTTTTTAAATTGCCACCTCAAAATTATAATAATAATAACCACATATATAAATATTAAATAAAAAATAAAAATTAAGTTCAATATTAAATTTAATTTAATTTTAATTTTTTTCTTTTTTTCTTTTTTTTTAAAAAAAAATGATTTAAACCTGTTTTTCATTATTATTAATTCATTATTTCAAAAAAAACAAAAACATGGAATTTAAAAATATTGTATATAAAATTGTAGAAGAAAATGATTGGAATAATTTAAAAGTTAGAAAGCCAGGTAGACCAAAAATACATATAAATACAATTTGGTAATTAAAATAAATTAGATATTATATTTTTTAAAATTTTAAATCTAATTTTAAATATTTCTACTAAATTTTATAGTTTGAGATGTAAAGTTGCCTCAACTTGTGGATGGAGAAAGGGCCCCGAGTAAGTTTAAAATGATTTATATATTGTTTACAAAAATATTAATATTTTTTTTTTTTTTTTAATTCAGAGACTGTTATTTATGTAATAGATGCGGGAAACAGTACGAAAATTTAGAGGATCTTTTACATGAATACATCGATGATTTTAGATACATTGCAAATATAAGCCCATTTCGATTGGTAACATCGGTTTTCATGGAGGGTGGGAATCTTTCAATACACGAATATAGATATATTATAAACTCTTTTTCCAGTATTAACAAAGATCAAGAAAACATAATTAATTTTAGACGTACAGGGTTAATTTTAAAACCCGGTGGAAATAATTTTTCATTATACCACAGATAAAAATACATCTTTCATAAAATAATTATAAACCAAATAAATTTTTTTAAAAACTTAAAAATTTAGATAATAAAAATAAAAATAAAAATAAAAACCATTCAAAGAAAATTATTTTTAAAAAAGATGGAGTTATATTTTATTTCTTTTATAATTATTATTAGTTTTCACATGTTTGTAATTTTTTACTGCTTTGTGGATGCAGTTATTATAATTCAATCTTTGGTTTCTTTTGCTTTTATAATAGCTTGGGGGTAATTGTTTTCATTTACATACCGCAAAGAAGAGACAAGTGCAGAACAACTGTTTATTTAAAACTTCACAGCCACACTCTATAATGTAAATAAAAATAAATTTTTTTTTTTAAGTAAATAATATTGATATATTTATATTTCTTTATCTATAATACTAAATATTTTTTAAATGTTTACGAAATACACCAAAACACAACTAAATAATATAGTTTAAACAAAATTTGAATAAAAAAAAATAAAAATTTTGTAAATTTATATTTTACTTTAAATTAAAATAAAAAATATTGAATAAAAAAAAACTGAATTTTTCATAATTATTTAGCTATATCTGTATTTATTTATATAAATAGTTTGATTTTTTTAAAGAAAAAATGTTGATAAAGATGAATGTTTCTCGGATGATGTAGATGACTTTTCTTAATTCAATCGATTTAAATATTGAAACATTGAATGAAACGATTTTATTAATAATTTAGTCATGGAGTTCTAAAGAATGAAACATTGAATAAAGAATTTAAACTATTAATTTAATCGCCATCAATTTCAATATTGATCGATATCTATAATCATTGTCATCTCCATTTTTATCTTCATTGCCCTATAAACCTTCAGCACTAGCTACTCTCTGCAATAAATTATAAATTAAATAAATTAATATATTTTATTTATTATGTATTAATATAAATTTAATGGATTAATTACTCTATTTAATCTTTCATATCTTTCTTTTTCTTCTCTTTCTTTTTGAATTCTTTCAAAATTTTTTTCATATGCTTCTTTTATTTCTTTTTCTCTTTTAATCATTTGAATTCTTTCAATTTTTTCCCTTTCTCTGTAAATTCTTGATATTCTTTCTATTTCTCTTGCTCTTTTAATTTGGTCTAATTTTATTTTTTCTTCTCTCTCTTTCTACTCTTTCCATTTCAATTAATATTTGTTTATCTCTATTTAAAATCTCTTCATCTTGGAGTTTATGTTTTTTGAAATTGTTCTATCACAATTTATTTCATTATCTAATTCCAATGGTCTTTTCTTCATTGGACTATTGCCAGTTGATGTGGATGCAGCTGCAGAACTATTTCTTGATACTGGCTTTCAAAATTTCTTGGTTTTTGATAATGGTGATGGGGCTGATGGTGATGGTGATGGTGATGCTCGACTTGATTCGGATTTATTAAATGGATAAACAGATGGTGTAGTTGATGAAGAGGATTTTGATGAAATGTGGATGGAATAGATGGATTTGTTGGTGGATTTGGGGTATTGTTTAATTGAGAAGAATTTGAAAAAAATAAATGTGATTTTGGTTGATAGTGTGAAGAGGCACATGTGTGATTAGATTGGTGCGGTGGGGATTGATGATTTGGTGTTAAATTATGTGGGCTTTGGATCTTGCTTTATAATATGTGAGGCTTTAGTTGGGTCGATCATAACTTGCTCTTTGAATGAATTGATTAAATTTTGAAATAGATCAATATCATAGTTTGTGGTTTTTCCTTGAAGCACTGTTGCCATTCTCTCTAGACCCAAACCAGTATCGACACAAGGTATTGCTAATTTTTCTAATTCACCTTTTTCATTTCTATTGTACTGCATGTATACCAGATCTCAAATTTCTAAAAATCTTTCGCCATCAACTTCTTTTCCTTCTCCCAAAATATTTCAGAGCATGGTCCACATGGTCCAGGTCCATCGCCCAAGATCAAAAATTATCTTTTTTACCTAGATCCATAATTTTATCATTTGAAAGCCCAATTTGATCTCTCCAGATAGATGCAGATTCTTCGTCACCTTCCAATACGGAGATGGCTAATCTTTCTTTTGGTAAACCGAAATCTTTAGTTAAAAGGTTCCAAGCATGTTGAATTGAATCTCTTTTGAAATGGTTATATCCACCAAATGAAAAATTACTCAACATTTCAAAAAATGTATGATGTCTTGCTGTATACCCAATATTTTTCAAGTCATTATGTTTGCCACCTGCTCTAACACATTTTTGTGATGTTGTAACTAATTTATATTTTGATTCTTCTAAAGCTGTGAATTGATTCTTAAACTGTACCATACCCGCATTTGTAAATAATAGAGTACTGTCATTATGTGGAATTAAACTAGAACTTGGTAATCTTTTATGTTTATTTGTTTCGAAATAATTTAAAAATTTTCTCTAATTTCTTTAGTGGTTATATCATTTTTAAAATTATTATTGGTTGAATAATATTTATACTATTATAATATTTTATTATTTTTATTTAATGATTTTAAAATTATTTTTTAAAATCAATATTTTAATACTGATATATAGATAGATATAATATTATAATATTATATAATAATTATAAAAATTAAAAAAAAAAAAATTATTCAAAAAAATCAAAAAAAAAATCAAAACAAAAAAAAAAAAAATAAAACAAATTTTTTTTTTCAAATTTTTAATATGGAAAAAATTAACATAACCCAAAAAAAAAACCATAACAAATTTGTAACAATATTGCCTTAAAATAATTTCTTTAAAAAACTGATTACAAAATAAATATAATTGTTTTTATATTTATAAAAATAAAAAATTTTAACTTTTGTTTTTAATATTATTTATATTTTATTGTTTTGCTAATTTTTCTTCTTCAGGTAATTCATAACTTTCTAAATAAATATAAATCGAACCTAAAAATAGATATTTCAACATTTCTTGCTTGAGGTATTCTTGATCAAAACGGATTAAAGTATCTACATCATTACTATTATTATGAATACTGTTATTTTCTATTATATGCTACATTATTGTTTTTATTCTTTATATTCCATTTCTTACTATATTAATAATTTTCTTGACTTTCTTTCTCTGCTATACTTGGTTGATTACTAAAACAAGTTCTTTACCATCGGCAATATGAGATTTTATAATCAGACCACATTTCAGATCGAGAGCGGCAATAATGTTTGGGACAAAGCATTTTTGAAAGTTGAAAACCACTTTTGAAAAAAATAATAGAATCTGTTAAGTATACTTAATTTTGTAGAGGGGTATTGAAAAATGTAATTGTCGATTTTTGATCTTATTAATTGTTTTTAAATCTATTTCAATTCTTTCAATTATTTTTTAATTTGGTTAATTCTTCTATAAAACTCTTTTCGAACTTTAATTCTTGGGTGTGGGGAAAGTATTTTATAATCAATCTATGAATTGAAATTTTTCCATTCAATATAGATCCTCTCGGTAATGATTCTGGTGAATATTCAGTTTGGCTGTTGAATTCATTGATATGATTTTTAAATATATATTCTATAATGTCAAAATTATTGTTATTTATTGCTAATTTTATTACAATTATTGTTGGTTTGAAAAATATTCATATAAAACTTGATTGTGGTTCGCTTGTGGATAATTTAAGCGGCTCCATCTTCTGGTATAGGATTAGTTGTTGGTTTGAAAAATAATCATATAAAACTTGATTGTGGTTCGCTTGTGGATAATTTAAACGGCTCCATCTTTTGGTATAGGATTATTTGTTGGTTTGAAAAATAATCATATAAAACTTGATTGTGGATAATTTAAACGGCTCCATCTTCTGGTATAGGATTATTTGTTGGTTTGAAAAATAATCATATAAAACTTGATTGTGGTTCGCTTGTGGATAATTTAAACGGCTCCATCTTCTGGTATAGGATTAGTTGTTGGTTTGAAAAATAATCATATAAAACTTGATTGTGGTTTACTTGGGATTTTGATATTGTTGATTGGGGACCTGATTATCCAACTCCATTTCACTTGAATGAATGTCACCCCTAATATAAGTTTTCCCATGATTAACACTTGTATCCTCTCTTAAATAATTATTAATTGACAAATTGTATAACAATATTTTATCTTTTATTATTGTTGCTATTTGTTTAATTGCATAATAATATTTATCTTTTATAATTGTTGTTATTTGTTATATCTCGAGTAAATTACCAAGTACAGTAGTAGTTTTTCTGAAGATGTTTTATTTAGTTCTAATAAATGGTAAATTTAATTAAAATAAGTTAGATAAAAATATCAAAATTTTTTTAAATAATTTAAAGTATGCCTACCATTTTTTATGTACATGCCCAAACCATCACCTTCATTAAGATTATCTTCACTTTCATGAATTCTTTTTTGTTAAGCATTTCTAATTTTTGTATATAGAAAGATTCTTTATTTTTAATGTATTGTTCAAAGCTAAGTAATTCTAATTTTTAATTCAGGAAGAAGAATATTTGGTTGGAGCGGTTGATTGAATTTGAAGAGAACGATATTTTGACATGTTAGAGGTTAGTCACTAGCTTGGCAAAGAAAAGATGTTGTATGCTGAATGCTAATGGTAATTATTAATTAGTATTTATTTATTTTGGAAATAAATTAATTAATTACCTTCAATCGTGAGATTTTCTTTTTTTAGTGTGGATCTAATTATTGAGTTATATTATTCTGGTGCTATATGGCTAGAATCTGCTTCCCTCGTTGAAGATCTTCAAAATAATTAATGAAAATTGATATGCATGTATATTTGTTTATTGTGGAAGCCGGTCAAGTTTGCCCAGGAATTTTGATTAACAAAAATTAATGCGAGAATTTGCTGTATCAAAATTAAAAAAAAATATTGTGCAAACTTGACCAATTTCTGAAATATAAAAAAATTTGTTTTTAAATTTTTAAATTTAAAAAAAAAAAAATTTATGTGAATTTATTTATTTTTTTTTTTAAAAATTTAGAAAAAAAAAAAATTTTATTTATATTTTTTTTTTTATGTGCGTCATTTTTTTTTATATAAAAAAAAAAAAAAAATAAAAATTTTAATTTTTTTTTGTCGAGACAAAATCAACACCCCCTTGAATTTTAAGGGTTAAAAATAAAATCATTCAAATCAAAAAGAAATTAATTTTTTGATAATCCAGAAAAGATATTTTTAAAAAAACCAAAAAAAAAAACCATATATGTCAGCTTCGCATTATATAAAAAATAAATTTTCAAATAAAATAATTTTTTTTTTTAAAAAAAAATAAAATAATAATAATTTTAATTTTTCTTTCGCAAATTTGTTGCATAAAAAAAAAATTTTGTTGTTTCAAAATTAATATGGAAAAAGACTTAAAAAATTAATCAAATATTTAATAAAAAAATTAAAATATTTGTTTTTATTTTTATTTATTTCTTTTTCAAAACAGTTATTTCTTTTGATGCAAAAAAAATAATATAATTTTATATGGTGTCATAATTTCTTAATAAATTTTTGCCACTAAAATTTTTTAATTAGAAAAGTAAAATATTAACATGTCCAAATTAAAATAAAAAATATGGTTAGCGTTCTATTTTTTGAAAAAAATTATTTATCACATTAATATTTTTTTAATTATGTGAGTAAAATAAAAATGATTTTGTCTCTTTGTTTTTTTGTAATTTTTTTTTTCAAAAAGTGGGTGGTGATTTAAATCTCACTGTTTTTTTAAGACTGCCTTTCACAAAATATTTTTAAAGTGTATTTTTTTCAAAAAGTGGGTGGTGATTTAAATCTCACTGTTTTTTTAAAACTGCCTTTCACAAAATATTTTTAAAGTGTATTTTTTTTAAAAAATTATGATTATTTAAAAATTGAGCATTTGGAGGGTGGTGATTTAAATCTCACTGTTTTTTAACACTTTCTTTAAGATATTTGGAGGGGACGCTAATGAACTTTTTATATGATAAGATTTTTACAAACAATTTTAAAATGTTTTTTTTTTTTATAAATTGGTGTGATAAATAATTTTTTCTTCAAAAAATAGGCCATTAACCATATTTTTTTTTTTAATTTGAACATGTTGATATTTTCGCAATTAAAATTTGGGGGCAAAAATTTATTAAAAAATTATGACACCATATAAAATTATATTATTTTTTTTGTATCAAAAGAAATAACTGTTTTGAAAAAGAAAAAAATAAAACAAAAACAAATATTTTAATTTTTTTATTAAATATTTTAAATAGCGAGATTTAAATCACCACCCACTTTTTAAAAAAAAAAAATTACAAAAAAACAAAAAGAGAATCACTTTTATTTTACTCATATAATTGTGTATTCAAATAATTAATATTTTATTTTGTTATTCAATATTTTTACTTTTTCTAAAATAAATAAATAAAGTTTTTTCTATAACAAAATAAAATTTATTTTAGAAATATATATTTGGTTTCCTGTTTTGACAAAAAAAAATTAAGAAATAAAATTTTTTTTTTTTTTTTTTTTTTTTCAATTTTTTTCAATTTTTATTTTTTATTTTTTATTTTTTATTAAATTTCCTTTATGTGTATATATTTAAAATTATATTTTTAAATAATAATCATAATTTCATTAATCAAATGCATAGTTTCATATTTTATTTCGTCTGATTTCATTTCTCCTCTGTTTAAAACTTTGGATATTTTTAAAATATCATTAAACAATCAGGATGTCTTCCTTAATTCCAAATAACATTTGTGATAACTATATGAATACTATTGAAAATAGTAACAATAACAGTGGTAGTAATAGTAATAGTAACATTCCACCCAGATATAATAAACTTTCAACACCAGAAACAACTTTTTGGTCAAATATTCAGTTTAGAATTTAAAAAGATAGATAAGTCGGCTTATGATAAATTAAAACCAGATCAACATGTATCGTGTAATAATAAAGATATTACAAGCCCACAATCAATTTATTCAAAAAGATTTTATTTAGATTTAATTTCAGTGAGAAACTATTTACATGTAGACCATGGTGTTAGAAAAACCAAGAATCATTTTTATTTAATTGTAAATATTAAGTACTATTTTAATATTATAATAAAACTATATAGATACTAATTATGAAATTTAAATTACTATTATCATTTAGAAAAAGAATGTAAATCAACAACAATTAGATGAATTAAATGGTGAATTGATAGCGTTACTTAAAGCTTCAAAAAAGAGAAAAAACTACATAGTTAAAGAGAGTAGAATGGTGAAACAATTAAAGATTGATAATCAACAATTAATTAATGAAAATCAACAATTAATTAAAAAGATGGAACAAGAAAGATCTCATTATCAAAATACAATTATTCAATTTAAGAATAAAGAAGAAGAATTAAAAAATCAATTACAACAATTACAGATTCACTCAAATAATCAAAATCAAGAAATAGACCGAGTGACTCGTGAACTCGATCAATGTAGAGCAACAATTGGTAGTTTTGAAGCTCGTATTGATGAAATGAATTTTTAATTGAAGAGAAAGAGATGTACTCCAAACTTAATGAAAATTTAGAAAACGACAAGCTAAATATATTAGAAGATTATGGTTATGTTCGTGGCGTTGAATATGAAGAAGAAGAAGAATTTTATTCATTAGACGATGAAAATACTAGTGGTCAGACAAAATTCAATTTTGAAACTGGGATGAATGCAATCGATAAGCTAAAACATATCTCTCAAATTTATTATTTTAGAAGAGTACTCACAATTCGTCAAAGCTCTTGTTATCGTTCAGAACCACGTGCCGGTGATACTTTCTTTAATACATATGTACCCATGCAGGTTGTCAACAAGTATTCGTCCAACAGAAAGCTTTTATCAAGCACATTGGTTTAGATCACACCTTGATTGTTCCAACTGAAGAACAAAAAGTAGAATTGGTTAAAGCTCAAGGTTTTGAATTTGCAAATGATTTTCTTAAATTAAATGTTGAATCAAAAGTGAAAGGTTCCCAGCAATATTATTTTTAGATACTGAAACCACAGGCCTCTCCGTAGCAACTGATGAAATCACTGAAATCTCAATTATCGATTTATATGATGGTAGCCACTTTTATAAACTCATCAATCCAACAACAACCGTTTCAAGTGCTTCTGCATCAATCCATGGTCATACAAATAAAAGTTTAGCAGGTAATGAGTATTGGTGTGATATTGAACCATCGCTTATTGAATATCTTTCAAAATATCAAAAATCAGGTGCTTACATCATTGCTCATAATGAAAAGTTTGATAGAGGAATTTTAGCAAGTCAAATTGGTAAAAATGCTGCTTCTGTTCCATCCATGTTTCCTTCAATAGTGTTTGTTGATTCAATTCCAATTTTTAAAAGATTTGTCAAAAAATTAGAAGGTGGTTATTCCATGAGTTCACTTATAGACCATTATCAAATTCCAAAATCAGATAAAAGCCATTCCAGTTGTCAAGATGTTTTAGATCTTGTTTTATTATTAAAAGAGCACAAAAACAAAGAGGGCAAGAACATTGAAGCTGATTTAGCTAAATTTTTAAATGATACAATTAAAGAGATTAAAAACAAACATAATTTAAAGTTAAAAGCTGGTGATGATACTCAAAATGGTGATACAGATAAAGGTACAAGTGCATTGGAATCAGTCATTAATGGTTTTAGTGCAATTAGTCTCAAGAAAATATTTGGTGAGGATATCAAAAAGAATTTAGAGAAGGATGTTGAAGGTAACTATTATTTTTACAGGCATACAACACACATCACTTTTACACATCAGTCAATATTATGTAATCATATTCAATCTTATAATTTTTATTAATTTTTTTTTTTAATTTTTTTTTCCAATTTTTTTTTCCAATTTTTTTATTAATTTTTTATTAATTTTTTTATTAATTTTTTTTTAAAATTTTTTTTTTTATTTATGTTCATTAATTGCCTTTTGTTAACAACATCAAATACAAAAGCCAAAAAAACCAATATGAAAAGAAGTTTATAACAACACCAAGAGTAATATGGTTGTATAATAATTGTCACAATTACGTTGATTCCTCAAAGATGGTTATAAATCCACAAAGAAATGATCAAAGAGCAAGAACTTATCAAAGAGTAGTTTTCAATGATTGTTTTTATATATTATTATATAATTGTTGGGTTGTTGTTAATTTATTTTTAACACCAAATGCCAAACCATTATTATTTGTGATAGTCAACTTTTTTCTTCTTCCCCTATCAAAAGAGTTTCAAGAAATGCAATGGCTTGTCCAAAATTAATTTCCAATAGAAAAGGTAGAAATAAATGTTTATTGTGTCGTTTCAACCCACAACTTGCAGGAGGTTTCTATTCTATTAAAAATAGTTCAATTGAAACCAAATGTCATTGCCATGGCTTCCATCTTCATACTTTTTGCAATATTATTTATCACAATCCTCTAAATCTTGTGGAACTCGATAGATCTAATCAAATTATTCAAACCTTTCTATTCAGAAGACTTTATTGAAATAATGAAAAATAATATTCAAAAAATAAAAACAAATAACATAGATATCTCAATAAATCAAAGCCAATCAATAATAGAAACCATTTTATTCAATAATGATATAACCAATAATAGCATCAAGCTTTTAATGGAAACTGTATCAAAAAAAATAATTTAAATAACGATCAATGCAATAACCATCAAAATAACATTGCAACATTAAATTACAATAGCTATAAAAATAATAACTTTGAAGTCATATAAACATAATCTATTACAACAAATAAGTTTAAAATACCAATTGAAATGGATTGAAATGCTTATGAAATTTGAAATACAAGAAATTTATCTTTTAGAAATCGTGAAATCATTTTGGATAAATACAACCATGATCAAGTTTTACTGATCAAAAAATTTATGCAAAAAATCACTATATAACAACAACTATATAAAAATATTTATATATTTTTATGAGCAACTGGATTGGGAACAAGATAACATATGTGGATACCATTATTATGAAAAAGTTCTTTTAATTAAATTATTTTTTTTTTTAATTAAAAAATAATTTAATTAAATTATATATATATAATTTATTTCTTTTACAGATATAATTGTTTCGCATTTGATAACAAGTGAAAAGACCATCTTCGCGTGGGTACCCTTTTCATTTGACTAGATCGGAGGCTCGCCTACTAGCTAGGATAAGGATCTTTCGGCATCATTCATTATATTTCTAGCACTTTCTGATGCGTTTCAATTATGTCAAAAAGAAAACAAATTGATTTGGACATTGAGGACTTTTTAAAAGACCATCATTACATATTTAACCAATCTACGTATTATTTATCGTATTTCAACTGCATCAGTATTGGTAGATATGAAGCAATCATTGGAACAATTTGGTAAATCTATTGAATACTTTTGTAATCTTTATAGCATTCCACAACCAACCAAGCTTCATCTCAAAACCAACAAAGAAACCATTACATACTTGGTCGACCTCTCCAATGAGATTGGATGCCCATTGACCAGCATTGCACACCTCAGCACCAATCCAGTTGAATTGTTTTTTAGTTTAGTTCGTTCCAAAGTTCATTACCCTTCTTACTATGAATTTTGCATTTATGAAAAATCGGCATACAAAGAGTTGATTAAATCAAAGATTGTCCAGAACAACCGTTATGAAGCTTCAATAAAAAAAGTAAATAAATGTTATGGTAGTCTTCAAACAAAGCTTGATGGAAATGTAATACCTGAAAGTGTTAAATTAGTATCCAAATACAGAGAAGAAGAGGTTAGAGTTTTCGAAAGAATTATTAAAATCATTGAACCAGATGAATATGAAGAATCTGAAGATTCATCATTTCCCTTTACTGATTCAATGAGTGCAGATGAAAGAAGAAGAGTAATAACCTTAACATTTTATTTAAAAAGAATACTTTCCATTAGAGAGCTTTCATGCTTTGGTGAACAAACCAGATTCAAAGCCAGTGGCAGAGCTGCACTTCAGGTGTGTATTTTTGATGGTTGCCAGGCAATGTTTGCAAACAGCGCATCTTATGAATCTCACGTAACCCAACCACATCAAATTCTATCAAAAGAAGATGTTCAAAAGTATAAACAAGTTTTGGAAGATCAAGAAAAATTCAAAAAACAATTTAATGATGTATTTGGAAAATTTGAAACACAACCTGATCAATCGAAATGCAATATTTTCATTTTAGATTCTGAAACAACTGATCTTACCTCCAATGCAGAAATTATTGAACTTTCGTGTGCTTGTTTAAATGGGGAAGCATTTTACCGTAAATCAAATCCAACCATCCCCATTACTCCAGAGTCTACCAAAATCAACAATCTCACAAGCAAAGATTTAGCAGGTCACCAATATTGGGAAAAGGTTGAAGAGAATTTTTTAATTTTATTGTCCAACAATCGTCAGATGATGATGCTCCAATTTATATAATCGCTCACAATGAAAAGTATGACAGAGGTAGAATTGCCTTTCATTTAACAAAATCAACTAAAGCTTTAGAATCATCATTCCATAAAACCATTAGCAGAATTAAATTTTTCGATTCAATTAACATCTTCAAATCAATTAAATTAGTGTTACCAGTGGTTTCAGATAAAAAAAAGGAATCATATTCGTTGGATAATCTAGCAACTTTTTTTAAAATCAACACCGATCGTATCAATCGTCATAGCTCAAGTGGTGATGTTTTACTTTTATTTGAAATTCTTTTATTCTTTTTTCATAAAAATTATAAAGATCCAAACAATTTTTTAAATTCCTTTTCAATTGTTTGGAAACAAATAAAAAAAAACTTTATGGTTTATATTGTTCATTGGCCACAAAACTTGGTTTATTAGCTGATGATGAAGTTTTAGAAAAGAAAATCAAATCTTTCAAAACCCCAATCCTAAACTCGGTTATTCAAACATTTAAAATAGATATTTTGCCAAACAAAAATGATAACAACAAAAGGACATTGAAAGATGATTTGATAGCATCAATTGTTGTTCACTTGTTAAACAATGAAAAAGATAAAGAGGATAAAATCTTTAAAGAGATGGAGAGACAGCGGAGTTATTTTTTTATTTTTTTTTTTTATTTAAAATTTTTTTTTAAATTAACTATTTATAAAATATTTTATAATATTTATTTATCTATTTATTTATTTATTTTTTTATATAAATTTTTTTAAAAAAATAAAAATGATCAATTTAAATATTTTTCAATATAAAGAAAAAAATTTTAACTTTGTTTGGTATGTTCAAAAACATATCTTTTTACCATTTGCTACCAATAGGATTAAAATAAGCAAACCATCGGCCAAAACAAACAAACCAATTAAATAAATATATCTTCAAAATTTTATTCAAATAGTTTTATTATAATTTTTTTTTATTTTTAATTTTTTTTTTAAATTAATTTTTTTTTATTTTTTTTTTTTGCAAAAAAAACGGTAAATTTGGCAAATTTGTGGGATGAAACTCTATTAAAAAAAAAAAAAAAAAAAAAAAAAAAAAATTTTTTATTTTTACACAAACTTTTTTTAATTTTTTCCTAAAAGCTTTTCATTTTTTCACCAAATTTATTGATTGAATTATTTGAATTCAAAGTATGAGTAAAAAAAATTTTAAATATAAAATTTTAATACATTTTATAAAAAATTTGAATTGTTTATTTTTTTTTTTTTATTTTTTTTTTTATTTATTTTTTTATTTATTTTTTTATTTTTTTTTTTTTATAATGATTGGTGAGGAGAGTTGTGTGTCTATTCGCTTTCATCAGAACTGCCGGATGATGGTTCAGCTGGTTGACTCTTTAATTTTTCTTCGTATTGTTTTTTCTCGACTTCCCATCTCTTTTTGTCTTCAGCAGCCATTTTTTCATATTTCTTCTTTTCATCAGCACTGATTTGGCTCCATTTTTGACCTAAAAGTGAACCGATTTCACCAAAAGTACTGCTTGGGTTTTGTGCTTTGACAGTCGGTCTGTATTCTTTAGAGAAGTAGATGAATGGCGAGAGATAACGACGTGGAGCATTTTCATCCTTGTTCTTCTTTCTACCTCTCTTTTCTTTCTTTCCTTTTTTGGTTTTTGGATCTTTCTTAGTCTTCTTGACTGGAGTTTTCTTGATTTTCTTTTCTTCACCTGATGAAGATGAACATGACTCTTCTGAAGAGCTCATTTTCTTTGTTTGTAGTTTATATAAAAAAAATAAAAAATATAATATATAACTTTAAAAAGTTTTTAAATAATATAATTAAATAGTAATAATTATAGATTTAAAAATATAGAAATATATGTTTGATGTTGGAAAAAAAAGAAAAAAAAAAAAAAAATAAAAAATTTTTAAAAATAAAAAAATAAAATTTTTTTTTTTTTTAAAAAAAAAAAAAAAAAAAATTTTGAAAAAAATAATTAATAATTTAATTTTTTTTAATTATTTAAAAAATTAAAGAGGAAAATGCGCGCATTTTTCACATTTTTAAATATATATTAATAAAATGCAATATAATAAAAAGATAAATAAATAATAAATTAATTAATTAATAAGTAAATATATAAATAAATTATAAAATAAAAAATATATAATCAATGGATGATGATGAAGGAACAAATTAAATACCTATTACCAGAAGGAATTCGATTAAAGACATAGACAAAAAGAAATCTACATCCCATCAAACACAAAGATAATATACTATTAAAAACTATCAATGAAATATTCAAACATTCAAATTTGATGAGCCGATAAATCTATGCATTATTCAATTTTATTATCTATTCAAATACATCAATTAAGAAATGGATGTACAGATTCAGAGTTTAAAATAAAACCTGCCAATATTATGAAATGCAAGAAAAGTGTTCGATATTCTTCGACCATAACATTGATATCTCTAGAAATGGCACATGTATTCTCTATGTAAATATGCTTATCAAAGTAACGTTCACAGTTTATTTTTTGTATTTGTTGTTTTTATTGCGGTTATCATATTTTTGTTGTTATTTTTTATCGTTCCAATGTGTTTTTTTATTATGTATTTTTATAATTTCAAAAAATCATTCACACAGCCAACCAATTAAAAAATAGAAAAATAAATAAAAAACACTGGTGGTTACATATATAGAGCTTCCAAAAAGAAACAAGATGTTTGTGTGTTTGAAAAAAAAATAACAAACACACACACAGAACATCACACATTTTTCTATACTATTATCAATTTGATAAAATGATGTTATAATGAAGCAATAACAGATTTAATTATAATTAAAATAAAAAAAATATAAATAAAAAAAAAAAAAAAAATTTGATATATTAGGTAGCATTAAAGTTTTTTATATTAAATTAGCAAACACAATATTATTTTGTCTCAAAAAACAAAGATAATAATAAAATATAATAACAATTTTAGTGTGTAATTAAATTAAATTATGTTAATTATTAATATTATTGTTTAAAATAAATAAAGAAAACAAATTCGATTTAATAGATTTGTGTTGATGTTCCATCCCTTTTTTCTACAAACAGTAGTGTTCGATATCAATACAAAATTTAATAAATAATATAATACAGCTATATATTTTTTATTTTCAATAAAATTCCAATCTGCTTAACTTTCAATCCATTTCAATTTTTATAGTGTCTGTTGGGTGTTTGTGTGTTGTGTGTTGTGTGTTGTGTGTTGTGTGTTGTGTGTTGTTTTTGTTGGTTGTGTGTTTGTTGTGTGTTTGTTGTGTTTGTGCTCTAAAAATTTATTTCACATATTATTATATTCCATTAATCATCATATTATTTTCTTTTCTTATAATCATTCATATTAGATTATAATAGAAACAAAATTAAATATGAAAAAAAAGAAATAATAAAAAAAAAATTAAAAATAGAATACAACAACTTAAAAAAATTTAAGTTTTTTAAAAAAACATATACAAATAATAACAATAATAAAAACAAGTATGCATTTATTGTTAATAGACAATGCAATTAATTTTGGATGATTAAATAAATATTAATATTATTTTTTTATAATTTTTTTTTTTAATATTTCATTTCACTTCATTTTTTATTATCAATAAATTCTTTTTAGATTACAAAGAAAATTTATAATTTCTAAAAAATGTCCTATGATTGTCTTCCAGAGGTAACTATTCTAAAATATATTTGCTTTTTCTTATAGCTTTATACTAATATTGCTTTTTTATTTTTTTTTTTTTTAAACCATTATGGAATGCGCTTCACTCATGCAACTTTTTTAATAATCTAGATTATTAAAAAAGAAACATTACCACACAAAATACCTACTATGACCACAACCAACTACTGTGACAACAATCCCAACCAACCCCAGAAGAGCTAGAACGTCAAACTGCATTAAGGATGCAACAAATTCGTCAATATCATATCTAAGAATAAGAAAGAGTGCAATTAAATGATCCACAACAGACTCACAATACACAAAATACCTACTATAGCCACAACCAACTACAATCGCAATTACAACAACAACAATCGGGGCTTTTATGAAATTCATATGGTCTCAAAGACAAAACCAAATTAAAAAAATTCGGTATACAAAATATTGATCCCATAAAAATAAATAACAATTGATAAAACTATAAATAAAATTATTTTTTTTATTGTTTATTAGTCTTTGTCGTAGTTTAATAGTTCCTAGATGCTATGTTGTTCCCTCATGAATCTCCATTTCATTTTTGTTTAGCATTGTGGAGCCCGCATGCATTACACATGGATACTTTTGTTGATACACCCTCCAAGTCTATCCATCCATATCTCCACCCTGGTGTGATTCCAGATCTGCAAACATAGCAGGTCTCTGGCTTTTCTTTGGGTGGTCTACCTTTCTTTCTTGAAGATACAAATATAATACTGACTTTTTCCTTTTTTTTTCCACAACCTTTCTTTTTATTTCATTTCTTTTTGAATTTAAAAAAAAAAAGTGGAATATTAGTAAATCGTAAAAAATAAATTTAAAGTATAATATTTAAAAAAAAATATATTTATATTATTTTTCGATGGTAAAGGTGGTTTTATTACAAAATTTTTGAAAACTCCAAGAGTAATACAATTTTTGCCATAATTATGTAGACCCAACAAAAATGGTTATCGATCCACAACGAAATGAAAGAACATACCCAAGAGTGGAAAATTCAAAAAAAAATTGTGCATATCATCCCCTTAAAGTTAAAGGTTTTTATAATGATATGGGTGTATATAACGAGTGTGTCATAAAATCTGTTTATATAAAGACTGTAGTATGGTCTTTCATAATCCTCATTTTGATTTTAAAATCAAGGATAGTAATATTAATAATAATAATCTAAAAAAGTAAAAAATAAAATAAAAACATTCTTTTTTTTGAGTAATATAATATAAATTAAAAAAAAAAATTTTATTTTTGAATTTTTTAATTTTTTTTTAAAATTTTTTT